CGATTAGTACCTAATATGTATGTGTGCTCCAACTATAGAGGCATCTTTTAAGCTATTTTCGAATAAAATCGCGAACAAAATGAAAAAAAACGTCGATTTTAGGGACTGAGTAACCGCTTACCACGCTTTGAGCCGGTGTTTCTTGGTTCTTTAAAGGGTTAGAATTCATTCTGAGGTTCAAGACGAAGCGATTAGTACCTAATATGTATGTGTGCTCCAACTATAGAGGCATCTTTTAAGCTATTTTCGAATAAAATCGCGAACAAAATGAAAAAAACGTCGATTTTAGGGACTGAGTAACCGCTTACCACGCTTTGAGCAGGTGTTTCTTGGTTCTTCAAAGGGTTAGAATTCATTCTGAGGTTCAAGACGAAGCGATTAGTACCTAATATGTATGTGTGCTCCAACTATAGAGGCATCTTTTAAGCTATTTTTTTAAACGTCGATTTTAGGGACTGAGTAACCGCTTACCACGCTTTGAGCCGGTGTTTCTTGGTTCTTCAAAGGGTTAGAATTCATTCTGAGGTTCAAGACGAAGCGATTAGTACCTAATATGTATGTGGGCTCCAACTATAGAGGCATCTTTTAAGCTATTTTCGAATAAAATCGCGAACAAAATGAAAAAAACGTCGATTTTAGGGACTGAATAACGGTTTGCCAAGCTTTCATCTTTTTTTTTGTTCTTCAAAGGGTCAGAGTTCAATCTGGGGACCAAGACGAACCGATTGGTACCTAATATGTATGTGTGCTCCAACTATAGAGGTATCTTTTAATCCATTTTCGGGTAAAATCGCAAAAAAAATGAAAAGAAACGTCGATTTTAGTGACTGAATAACCGCTTGCCACGCTTTGAGCAGGTGTTTCTTGGCTCTTCAAAGGGTCAGAATTCATTCTGGGGATCAAGTCGAAGCGATTGGTACCTAATATGTATGTGTGCACTAACTATAGAGGTATCTTTTAATCTATTTTCGGATAAAATTGCGAAAAAATGAAAAAAACGTCAATTTTAGGGACCGAATAACCGTTTGCCACGCTTTGAGTTTTTTTTTTGTTCTTCAAAGAGTCAGAGTTTAACCTGGGGACCAAGACGAAGCGATTGGTACCTAATATGTGTGTGCTCCAACTATAGAGGTATCTTTTAATCTATTTTTCGGGTAAAATCGCGAAAAAATGAAAAAAAAAAACGTCGATTTTAGTGACTGAATAACCGCTTGCCACGCTTTGAGCAGGTGTTTCTTGGCTCTTCAAAGGGTCAGAATTCATTCTGGGGATCAAGACGAAGCGATTGGTACCTAATATGTATGTGTGCACTAACTATAGAGGTATCTTTTAATCTATTTTCTGATAAAATCGCGAAAAAATGAAAAAAAACGTCGATTTTAGGGACTGAATAACCGCTTGCCACGCTTTGAGCAGGTGTTTCTTGTCTTTTCAAAGTGTCAGAGTTCCTTCTGGAGACGAAGACAAAGCGATTGGTACCTGATATGTACGTGTGCTCCAAGTATAGAAGTCTCTTTCACTCGTTTTTCGAGGCAGATCACTAGAAGAATGAAATAGCTTTAGCGAACAAACTAGTTTTTTGCTGGAAAAAACTTAAATTTGCCATTTTTTTGAGGTTTGCACCTGAAAACATGTTTTTTGGTATCAACCTACAGAAAAAAAATTGTTACTGCGGGGTACGGGCAGCAAATTGCAATATCACCATATTTGGCTCCAGTTAAGGTACGAATTTTTGTAGAATTCCTCATATATGTATAAAAGTGAGTTGGTTAATTTTTGCATTTTAAGATATAAACTCTTTAGAAAAGTTTTATTGAAATTATTACATTTAATACAACAATTCCAGTATATAAAAAATATAATTGTAGCACAAAACTAAAAACAAAAAACATATAAATATTGCCAAAATTGCTAATGAGTTATGGTTTCATCTTCAAGGTCATCAAGTTTATCAGGACGGTCGCTAAATTCCTCAATATCATCAATAATTTCAGTCTCCAGTTAAACGTTATAACATTCTTGAGCATCACCTGTATTAAATGCATTACAGATTTTATGTTATTTAATTTTGGAAGAGAAATAGGCTTCCCGTTGGGCCACATTTTTGTTAGTAAATGGCTGTTATTATTATTGGTTACTGCTGGCCTTCCATGTTTTTTACCTATGTAAACTTCAGAATAATTTTCATCTGCAAAGCTTGTTATCATAAATATATAAAATGGTTTTGATTTATCTAGCCTTATCTCCCTTGTTTTTAACCAATTAATTTTTTGTTTGCTCATTTCAACTTTTCTATTACAGATTTGTTTTTCTGCGTCTGCTGTACCAAAAAAATCAGAAGAAATTATTCTAATGACATAAAATTTGTTTCTATTTCTGCAATTTTTCATTACAGTTATGTAATCTTCGGGTAGGTATAACCTTTGTTGATGTTTGAGCGCAGACTCTATGTCTGAAAAATTGGCATCGTTAGATAAGAAACTATGCCCTGATATGAGGAACCGGATATAAATCTTATTGACACATGAGTTTCAAGTGCAGCTTTCATCATGAGAGTTAATTCTATATCCCTATTTTGGCCCCCACATGAATCAGACCATAAAATTAGTTCATCTACATGGTTAGATACATGATTTTAATATATTTTAAAAAACATGATCCTATCTCTTGGGAACCACCACCAGCTTCATTTTCCATCCATACATTAAAAGATCTCTTATTGCTTATTCCAGAGTAAATTCCTAAGTTGTACAGTAAAATTTGCCTTTTATACAATAAAATTCCAGTTGGTAGGCGTGGAATGGGCAGTTTTTCCCAAGTCGAATGTTAAACATTCTACTTTTTTATTGTTAGTCGCAGTATCCAAATCTTGTTTCATTTTTGAAAGAAATTTTGAATATGGGTAACATGTTTATTTACTAACATTACTTTTACCTTATTATCTTGAGTGCTATCTATTTTTGCCTGATAAGAATCGCAGCTGTTACAGGGGTCTTTTTTGAGACTTTTTTTAAATTAAACTCGGTCATGAAGATACGTCTGTACATGACAAAGCTAACAGAATTATTATGTATTTATTATACATTAGATTTAGTGTCATTTCCAGGGCAAAAATTGAGCATCACCACACTGTAATCTGCGATAATGGCTCACATATTTTGGAATCCTGCCAATTTGATTAATTATTTCTTGTTTCCGTTCTTGGATATTTTATTTTTTCCGCCCTGTTTTTGTCATCTTTTGTCTGTCAATGTAGAGGATCTAAGTTTTTTCATTGCAGTATCAAAACGCTTGAAATTCCGAAAGTATTAATAAATAAGTTGCGACATACCTGTATTTTATTTAACATGTATTTTCTGGAATATTTACGATTGGAAGTGGCTCGAACATAAATTCGTTTTTATTGCCTTCATGAACCAATGCACCAATGAAGGCTGTTTGAGCATTGTAATATCCCAACTCCCAATCCTTGTCAAATTATTCTTCTCTAACATTTTTTGGTACTTTAACCTAGCAACTCATCTTACAAGAGCAATTAAAATCTTTCATTTTTTTCCTTTATAGTTGTAAAGAACATTTTTTAAATTTCTCTGTCGCTTATTTTCTTCTCTTGTTAAACCAAGATATTTTCGTTTTTGTCCCTTCATTGGCCTACCTGCATTGACTGGAGTAGAGTTTATTACCTGTTCTAGAACTTCTTCTTCTAATTCCGAAGTTACATCACCTTCCTGATAATCTTCTTCATTGTGCCTTGTATTAGTTTGATATTCATCCTCTAATCTGAATTCTGGATCTACGTCGAAATCATAGCCATCATACTTATTATATTGATCATTGTTTGACTGATTGATTCCATATAATTTAAAAAGAAAAAAGTCAGTTAAATGCTAATATAAATAGTCGTGACCAAACTAACCTCATTTTCTGCTTTTGAAACATTTAAAACCAAATTTAGTATATGTTGTCCACTGGAGCATTATATAACTCATGTTTAAGAAATGTTTTACTTCCCAATATTTATTAATAATTAATAATTTGCAATATTTTCACTACTTTATAACACAAACATGCAGTCTTAGCCTTATCGCGTGACAAACAAAAGTATTAGTAATTGAAGAAAGGAACCAAACACTGAAGTATTTTATGCTATGTGATTCCCAAGTTTTGCAGAATGGAACCAACCCACTTGGAATTAGCGTGTCCAAGTTCACAACCCTTTCCAATCTCAATACTAGATATTTATTTTGACGTATACCATATATCAATATAAGGTTGAATGTTCGAATAATTAAACTTTGAGGGTATACAAGGCAACTATCGAACACGGTGATCAATTTAATCTTGCCCAAGTACTTTCGATCAATAGATCATCTTCAGGGGCATTTCGTCAATTGTGGCCTATCCTGACATGAGTAGAATGTCATAAATGTAAAATTTGGACATAACAATATAAAATACAATACACAAAGACAAACAAACACTTTAAAATTTTTTAAGGAGAAACTACATGTTGTATAGAAGCCGGAGACAGAATGGGCTCCCGGTCTGACGGAAATATTGAGATGACATGTGGATCATCTCAATGTGGACCACATGTCATCTCAATATTTCCGTCAGACCGGGAGCCCATTCTGTCTCCGGCTTCTATACAGCATGTAGCTTCTCCTTAAAAATTTTAAAGTGTTTGTTTGTCTTTGTGTATTGTATTTTGTATTGTTATGTCCAAATTTTACATTTATGACATTCTACTCATGTCAGGATAGGCCACAATTGACGAAATGCCCCTGAAGATGATCTATTGATCGAAAGTACTTGGGCGAGATTAAATTGATCACCGTGTTCGATAGTTGCCTTGTATACATACCCTCAAAGTATACCATATATTTCAATCTATAGTAATAATGATTGTTTTCTCTTAACAAAAAATTCCAAAAAAAAAATAAAACATTCTGAACAAAACAAGCTTTATGCAAAATATTTTTCCGATTTTTCTGTTACAGGTGGTCCGTATTCACCTTTTGGAGGCAGAGATGCTTCTAGAGGTCTGGCTACGTTTGAGGTCAATGCTGTTACTGAAACCTACGATGACCTAAGCGATTTAAGCACCATGGAAATGGATTCGATAAAGGAATGGGAGTCACAATTTCATGGTGAGCTTATTTTAACTTAAAATTTTATACGTACATAATAGGTTATTATACTTGTACTATATTTTTTTTATGATCATTTTAAGTTGCCTCATATTGATGTATGTAAGAAATAAGAATAATGGAAGAAAAAAACAACCATGTAACGAATTTTCGACACGTCTGTATATTAAAGATAATCGAGATACTTGTCTTTTACCTTGAACAAGGTCCCTCTTAAATTATGGTACAAGCTCTCCTCACGTTCTAAACAGGTTTATAATGTTTTAGACAAATTATATTCTATGTTCCAAAATAACCTCGCAACTACGATGATTTCCTTAAGTTCCCCAACTAAAAAATTACCAGGTCATTATAAAAATTACCGTTAGCGTCGAGTCTGGGTTAATAGGTGCGAACTGTGAACGCGAGTCGAAATCAACCTTTGCACTTGATCGCCCGACATCAGCGATACACGCAGTTCTTAATATTACTTGCATTTTATCAATTTTTACAAATTTCAAGGGTCAATCTATTTTTCAATCGCTTAAAAACTTTTGAAAAATATCTTTCAGTCACGAGTTATTATGATTTTGCGTAAAACAGAATGATTCATTAATATTATAACCCAAAAGAGATGTTCCAATTCTATAGTAACTTCAGTTATAATTATTACAATGTTCCTAAATATTTTGTAAATTTAATACATAATTTTTTGTACATGATATGTACAGGGTGTCCCAAATTGGTATGTTTTGCTGAGCATACCGAAATCTAAATTTGAAGAGTGTTTTCATCGTTTAAAAAAGGCGGAGAAAAGACGTATAAAAAACCAGTGGCGTACACGTTTTGTTTTAACGTTAAGTATATTATATTTTTTAAATATTATTTGTTCGAAATAAGCCACAATATATTTATTTACAGGTTTTTACTGACGTTTCGATCTCTATATCCAAAGACCGTTTTCAAAAAAATAAATGATAGTTATATTTATTTGATATGTTTATTATTATTATATGTTTATTATTATATGTTATATTATCTTATGTTATTTATTTTCTATTTTTTCCAACTTTAAAAACTGTTTCTGGAATAAAGATCGAATTTTCAGTATATTAAACACGTACATAGATATATTCTGACTAATTTCCAACATTCTCCCTAAAAATACAGAATGCTGCAAGCAAAAAGCTATAGAAAAATAAATATAACTATCATTTGTATATTTGAAAACGGTTTCCTTATATAGAGGTCAAAACGTCAGTTAATTAAATATGTGAATAAATATTTTGTGGCTTCTTCCTCTCATCATTATCTCCCAGCCCTTTGCGTCCACTGCTGGACATAGGCCTCACTCATTTTTGTCCATTGTGCTCTATCTTGTACAATCTAAATCCGGTACGAAATCCCGCTTGTCCTATTGGCTGGTAGAAATCAAGTTTTTTCTCAAGAGGATTCGTTACTCTTGTAAGGAGTTTGTACAGGTGACTAAGAAGACTTATAGGTCTGTAGTTCTCTAATTCATGGGGATCTCCTTTTTTGTACAATAGAATTACCTCAGCATTGTGCCATTGGTCGGGCATATTACTGTACAAAAGGCACATGTTCAAAAGGTTTTTTATTTTCTTACGTAGGAGGTTCCGATTTTTATTGCATCAGTAACCACACAATCTTCGCCTGGAGATTTGTTATTCTTAGCTTTTCTTAGGGCTAGTTTTATTTCGTCCATTATGATTTCCGGTAGTAGTTGTGATCCTTGGTTGACAAAGGTCCTTTTTCCTTGTTAATATTTCTGGTACGGTACTTGAACTTGTCTGCTATTTGCTTTGTGTTGGCTTCTGTACAGCAATTTGTAGAAGTCTTCAGCTATTTTAAGGGTTTCCTCTTTGTTGGTTGTAAGCTGACCATTTCTATATCTTTAATCTTTATTATCTGTCTTCTCTTCGTTATACTTTTTCTTAATGCTTTCGTACTTCTATTATTCTCATTGGTATGTTCGATTTGTTCTTGGTTGTATTTTTGAGTGTCTTGTCTAACAGCTTTGGATATTTCTTTATTTAATTTTTTTAGTTCCTCGGCTTTAGTTTCCGTCTCGTTTCTCCTTTATCTTCTTTTCTCCATTAGTTGCCTAGTATTTTGGCTAATATTTTCTTCTTTTTGAGTTCTAGAACAGAATTTGTTTTGACTTTCCAGTAAAACATTTGTTAATTTATTATTTAAGTCGTTTATATTATTTTCTGTTTCAGGATTACTAAGTATGTCGGAAATACATTGCTGAAAACTATCTACATCTGATGGTTTCATCCATAGTTTTGATTTGTTCTTCTTTTTAATCATCTTATACCTCTTCTTCTTTAAACTTATTTCTATTTTACCTCGTACGTAACGTTAATGTCTTTAACGCTGTGTTTGGGACTTTGCCATGTCCATCTTCTCTGTGGTTTCTTTTTGAAAAAACTGTTCATTTGGAATAGTTCATGTTGCAGCATGAACCTTAACAGTATTTCGCCGCGTTCATTTCTACCATCAAAGCCAAAGTTTCCCAGTGGTGTTTCTGTAGGATTGGATTTCATTCCTGTTTTGGCATTAAAATCATCATAGAATAGATCCACTTCTTCATCATGGTCTGTTGTTGGTGCATAAACTTGTATTATTTTCATATTATACCTTGTATTAAATTTGAGAGTAAGACAAATCACTCTTGTGGAAAATTTCTTGATACTATACTTGTTTGGAGACGCTTATGTATAATGAAGCAGGTTCTTCCCAAGGAATTATTGTCGTCACCTACGTGATAAAAATTATGTCCTGGTTTTAGTTTAATTAAGTATTCGCCACGACTTCTAACTTCGCTGAGACCGACTATGTCTTACTTTATGTTTTCTATTTCGCACTCAAGTTCAGTAAATCTTTCGTCAGATAGTAGGGAATGTGCATTATATGTTCCTACATAAAGTGTGTCTTATTCGGGTAACTTTTTCCTGTCTTTGTAAATTTTTTTGTCTACCCCAGAATCCATGGTACAGACTGATAATTTATCAGTGCAAAATTCTGAAGATAATTTTCTACTTGTCTGGAGTATTTGCGTGTTTTCAACTGACATCCTCGTGAGGGGTATTTAGCATTTAGACCCACGCTGGCTAGACGTGTTGGTGAGTTTTTGTTTCAGCCGCCCATTCTGGGTCCGACGCTTTTGCGGCCGCCCACTCTGGATCAGACGCCGCGGGTTGTGATCTTACACTATCCCTAAAATCAAGGGTTGTCAACTCAGCCATCTTCGCCGTACCGGAAGTATTTCTTCGTCGCCTTGGATGCCGTTCTGGACTTCATCCGTGACCCCGGAACAAGCGATCCTTAGCAGGTGCTAGCTTACCGGGTCAAAAAGCTCCTGGAATCTGCGGAGGGCAGGGATTGATTCACTTTCCCTGATAGGACTATCCAATAGAATCCAAAGGACTTTAAAGGAGTTCCTACCCGCTACCCCCCTTCTTCTTCTCCTACATTCCCCTAAAAATACAAAATCCCACAAGCAAAGAAGTATAAAAAACAAGTCAATTTGCAGAAAGCTTATTGATGCTACCCGGCTGTCAGGGAAGGTACGCTAAATCGTCTATTGACGTGACCCGTCCTTAAAGAATTAGTGATATATGGTTAATGCTCGAATTAATGAACTTTAATCAAATAAAAGGCAGATATCGAGCATAGTTTGTTATTAAATCTTGCAAAAGTACTTTCGTTCTCAGAGCATCTTCAGGGGCATGTCGTCAAAATTATAGGCTATCCAGCATTTTTATGAATGTTATTAACATAATAAAACATTTATACAACACTATACAAAGGACAGTTTAAAAAAATTTGAAATTTGAAGAAGCTACATGGTAGGTGACATCAGGAGAGAGAAATGAGAATGAGAGAATTTGTATTTTTTTCATGGTCTGGATATCGCTCAGTTTCAAAAAATAACTTTCTTTTAGCCGAATCACCACCACGTTTATCTTTGCTGGTTTCCAAATTTATACAATTGCTTTGGGATTTATTCTTTAAATTTTATGACATGTTGCCGACATCAAAAAATATGTTATCAATTGTGGGCAGATTAACGTTATCCTCTACAGAATCAGGAAATTGGTTCCGTGACAATTCTTGTCGTTCTTTAAGGTTAGTCACTTCTGGTATATGTACTCTAACTCCACTTTTCAAAGTAGTGCTTTTAATTGTATGATCAATAAGTGTGTCTGCTTAAATATTTGAATCCGTAATATCTCCTGTATTTACTGTAACATTTTCTTTATTCATCACAACAGTTTGACATTTTTTGCTGCCGGAATTGACTCTTGTGGTAATTTTTTTTTTATTGTCGATTGAGATGTCAATTTCTTTACATAATGAGTTGTCTTGATTAACTGAAGGCAGATTATTGGATGTCGATTGAATATCTAAAGTCATTGTATCTTCTATGACATCTTTTATATTATAATGTGTAATATCACCGTTTTCTGGAAGTTGAACTCGAAAATCAGAAAGTAGTTTTCCTTCTCTAATAACAGGAATATCTTTAAAGCATATAAAGTACGTTGCATATGATTTCATTGAAATCTCAGGGTTAAGTGTAATATCTGAAGATATATGGGTTTCTAGTATGATAGAGGTATCCTGTATATCATTTGTGATTCCACTTGTCTCTGTAGTCTGAATCGTGGGTAGATCTATGGTATTTTGAAATAAACTAAATACATTAAAGAGTCTTTGATCTTTCCTAAACATTTGGAATAGTATATTGCTTCAGGGTTCCATGGATACATTCCAGATGCTTTAAAGCCATTAACCCATTAATGCCCACCGTATTTTATATAATACGCGATACATTGTTACATATTTCGCCATCTACTAGTCAGAAAAAAAAGTATACATTAGTTGTTTTCCCAATTTAAGTTACAGAATAGATGTTGGAAGGTAACTGTTTATCATAAAATTAGAAATTTATGACAACTTGGCGGTAAAGGGTGATTAGTTTTGCGCTAAGT